CACAATACCCTCTTTCACCATAAAATGACACTTTTCCTAGTTTAGTACTAAATTGCAGTCTTCACATCTCTTAAGGACCTCAGATACATTGGTCAAACACCGCTCGAATAAATCACCAACCATAGAAAAATCATCCATAAAAACTTCTATAGTATCCTCCACCATGTCAGAAAATATTGACATCATACATCTCTGAAATGTTGCGGGTGCATTGCACAACCCAAATGACATTCTTCTGAACGCAAAGGTCCCATATGGACAAGTGAAAGTGGTTTTCTCTTGATCTTCTGGTGCAATAGAAATATGATTATACCCCGAATACTCATAAGAAAACAATACCACCCTTTTCCTGCAAGTCTATCCAACATCTGATCCATGAAGGGCATAGGAAAATGGTCTTTTTCAGTCCATGAGTTCAGTTTACGGTAATCCATACACACCCTCCATCCAGTAACCAGTATCATTGGAACAAGTTCATTTCTTTCGTTGGGGACCACAGTCATTCCCCCTTCCTTAGGTAAACACTAAACCGGGCATACCCATCTACTATCAGCGATTGGATAGATTACTCCATCATCCAAACACTTAATGATTTCCTTCTTCACAATCTCTTGCATAGGAGGATTCAAGCGCCTCTGGTGCTCAATACTCGACTTATGATCAGGCATGAGTTGGATTTTATGAGAGCAAATACCAGGAGGGATCCCAATAATGTCCGCAATAGTCCACCCAATAGCTCTTTTGAACCTTTTTAGCACCTTTACCAAACTCTGAACTTGTTGTTCATCCAGGTCTGATGCAATGATTACCGGCAAAGTGTCACCATTTCCTAAGAATTCATACCTGAGATGAGGTGGGAGAGCTTTTAGTTCTAACTTTGGAGCCTCCTCTATATATGGTTTCGCGGGTGGGGACTCGCGATTCTTCATATCAAGCTCAAATTTCTTCAGTTTAAACCGAACAACACCTCAGTCAAGAGCCGCGACTAATGACTCATACTCTTCAATGCAATCGCTATCAAAGTTCATTATCACTGCCGCTAATGCTTCTACACCTAGACGTTCTTCTATTTGTGTCTCAGATGTCTCAGCTATGTTATAGGATATAACAGATACCGATTGGAGCTCACCACTCTGCCTCATAGACCTATAAATATTAAAGGTCACTTCCTCATTGTTAAACCGAAATTTCATCTGTCCTTTTTCCATGTCTACTAAGGCTCTTCCCATAGCAAGGAATGGACTCCCAAGAATAATGTGCACTTCAAAATCGACTTCGCAATCAAGAATAACAAAATCTGCTGGAAATATGAAGGACTCCACTTTTACTAGCACATCGTGGAGTATACCTATAGGCCATTTTACTATTCGATCAGCCATCAGAAGCCGCATCGCAGTGGCTTTGGGTTACCCAAACCCAATTTCTTGTAAATCGAGAGGGGCATGAGATTTATGCTTGCCCCCAAATCACGTAATGCTTTCACAAATATAATAACCCGATTGTACAAGGAATAGTGAACGCACCCAGATCTTCTTTCTTTTGGACCAGAGATCTTGTAGCAATAGCACTACAATGCTGCATTATATCATCATCCTCAAAAGTAACCGATCTTTTCTTTGTGACCAGATCTTTCATAAACTTGGCATAACCGGGCATTTGTTCTAAAGCTTCTACCAAAGGGACATTGATAGAAAGTTGCTTCAACATTGTTATAAAACTCCGATATTTGCCATTTTCAGTCTTTTTCAATAATCTTTGAGGAAATGGAGGTGGTGGCCTAGGAATAGGAGTTACCTTTTTAGGTACCTCAACATCTTTTGTAGTGTTATCCTCTAATTCAGCATCAACATTTACCAATTTATCAGTATCTTTTGTCACCTTATTCTCATTAGATAGCCTAGGTGGGTCAATGGTTTGCTTGCCACTGCGAGTAGTAATTGTCATACAATGTCCATCATTTTTCGGATTTTGGACAGTGTTGCTGGGAAGAGTGCCCGGTTGCCGTGTGTTCACAGTTGCAGATAACTGGGCCTATTTTAACTCAAGTTGCTTAATTGATATTGCATGTGTATCAACTTTTTACCCAATACCCGCTAAATCATTCCTCAACTCTTTATTGTGCTCATCACTAGCATCGAACCTCATCATCATTTTATGCAACATATCCTCAACTTGCGACATACTACCTCCACCATCCCTAGGAGTAACTTCACGATTTTGAGGAGGAACATAGGGTCCATTCCTGTCGATTCTATTACCATAGTTACCCTTGTTGAAGTTGTTGTCGCGATTGTAGTTTCCATCTCGGACATAATGACCCTCACGATTGTAGTTACCATGACCTTGGTTCCCTTGACCTTGGCACCAATTCTCCTGATTAGAGCCTTGGGCGCTTGGTCGGAAACCCCCCATCTGTTCATTTACTGCATAGGAATCCTCCTCATAATAACACTCATCGTTTGGAGGTGATGGTTTAGCCAAGTAGTTGACAACATTTATCTTTTCTGCACCCCCAGTGACATGTTTTAGTACCAACCCAAGCTCAGTTCTCATCTGAGCCATTTCTTCACGAATCTCATTTGTGGCTGAGTTGTGAGTGGACTGCACTGCTAAGGTGTTTCTTCCTGTATCGGACTTCCTAGTACTACAAGCTTTGTTATTTTGGGATATTTTCTCTAATTTTTCAGCAATCTCGGCATAAGAGAATTCTCCATAAGATCCACCTGCTATAGTGTCCAACACCGCTTTGTTGTTATCATCCTGTCCCCGATAGAAGTATTCCTTCAGTGACTCATCATCTATACGGTGATTTGGAACACTTCTCAAGAATGAGGTGAATCTATCCCAAGAACTACTAACTGACTCTCCTGGTAGTGCCACAAAGTTATTCACTCTGTCTTTGTGGTTTAGTTTCTTGGAGACTGGATAGTAGCGTGCTAAAAAGACATCTCTTAATTGGTTCCATGTGAAGATTGAGTTGTATGGGAGCTCAGTGAACCATATAGCAGACTCTCCCGTCAGTGAGAGAGGAAACACTCTGAGACCTATTACATCTAGATCCAAATCAGGCCTCCCCACACAACTTTTACACACTGCCCTTACCTTAGCTATATGAGCAAATGGATCCTTAGAAGGTAGCCCTGAAAACAAACCTCTGGCAGTGAGCATTTGCATCAGGATACTAGTTACCACAAAAGTGTGGCCTGTGGGTAGAGGGGGCAAGAAAAGTGGCCCATTTGAGTCTGCTATGTTGTCATACCCTCTGTAGTATACTTGGGGCTGTGGAACGGGATTTTGTCCCCTCTGTTGATGTTCACCCGGAGCATCGGGTAACATCTGACCATGAACATCAACCGGAGCTGGGATGTTCTGGTTTGGATCCTCATCATTTATTCCCAAGTTTCGATTCATATTATGCAGTGTACGCTCTAGCTCGTGATTGTAGGGAAACAAGGGTTCTCTTCCTCTCCGTGTATTTGGCATACAAGGAGGATAGTTCTGAAAACAAATCAAAAACAATAAAACAAAGTAAAATCAAGAAAATATCAACTAAACTGTAGTAATAGGTTCAAGTTAATCTAAAAGCTATATTCCCCGGCAACGGCGCCAAAATTTGATACACTCAAACTTACTTCTCAAATAAGAAGTAAAGCGGTCGTGTCAAGTAAATAACCCAACTAGTGAGGTTGGGATCGTTCCCACGAGGAAAATAGTCTAGACTTAACTTCAACTTGTTATTACTATTGCTTGGTCAATGACTTCCTTGGAAAGTAAAAATATAAAAAGGGGGGTTTCTATTTCTAATTGATTGGAAATAAATAAGAAACTTGAAAGAGACACTTAACAGCTTTAATAGTTGAATTTTAATCAATTAATCAAGGTAAGTAGGGCTTACGTGTTCCCCACAGGTTCATAACTTGATAATTCTAACTATAACAATTCTTTCCTAGTATCTTGCATGCAAAGTGATAAGTTATGTATTTCTAAATCCTTGGTCTGGCATCTAGAAAGTCTCACTCCGCACCTTGGTCCAGTTACGTGTGTTGCTATCCTAACCCTTATCCTTACCTCATATTAAGCATTGTATTTGATATGTGACTAAGTTATTACCTCGTACCAATCAATACTAGCTTATTAGATAGTATACACTAAATCTACGTTAATAATTCTTTTCCTATTATCTACCTCCTTGATCCGGCAAGTAGCATTAAGGCGAGTTCTAACGTTGGCAATCAGTTAAAAAGACTTTTAAGCGAAAGAATTATTAATACATGCAAGACACTAATCTAGAATTGTTATTTTAGTTAGGGTTTATCTCATTATTTGCCTATGGTTCCCACAAGCCTAGTTATGGAGTTTAGTTACTCATAGCCATAAATACAATATTCAAATATATTAAATACGAATTCATGTACTTACTTCAATGAGAAAGAATAAAATCCAAAGTTTGCTTGATTAATCTCCAAAAATCACTTACAAGAATCTCAAAATCTAACAATAATACACAAAGTCTAATAACACGGAGTCTAACTATCTGGTGTCTAACCTCAAAAACGAGGTTTTTCGAACTATTTATAAAAAAACAAAAACCAAATTAAACAAGGATTCTAATTGCTGGAAATCTGCCAAAACCGGCTGGGTCGACGGACCACGCGACGGACCGTCGTGGTCACGACGGACTGTCATGGACTTCGTCGTCCCATACTTATGCAATTTCTTCTGCTGCTATCTTCATTCCCCTCAACGGCAAGTATGACGGACCGTCATAGGCACAACGGTCCGTCGAGGGTCTCGTTTCAAAACACTTCAGCTCTTGGAATCTGGGTAACTGAATCACTTCTCTGAACTTCACGACGAACCTGCAGAACGGACCATCATAGCCACAACGGACCGTCACAAGCTTCGTAATCCCACACTTGGTCAGACTTCCCCATCTTCCTTCAGCAGCTGCACTACGCTGCCACCCACGGACCGTCACAAGCACGACAGCCCGTCATAAGCTCCGTAGGTGGTCTCTTCTGCAATTCTTCGCTCAAAATCTCCGCATTCAGCTTTGGACAGATTTCCTGCAAAACAAAGAGAAACTTATATAAAAATTAGCACAAAAAGGCTTTTGGACACACTAAACTTAAGGAAAAAGTATTAATAATACCGTGAAACCACGATATATCAGTAGCCTATATAAAAGTTGAGTATTCTCTAAAGATAGTATTTTCCTTTCATATTTCTTACAAATTGGTATCAGAGCAGATTTTCGTTCTTAATTTGGGCTTAGGTGAAGGAAAAATATGACATCCAAAACAAATTAAAGTGCTGATTCTTCAATTATTCTTACTCTATTTTTTTATGGAAATGTTTTTAATACTTGAAGATAAGAATGAGAACACATTGAAAGTTGAATGTTTGTGGACTATTGTTGCAAATGACTTTGAAGAGCTAGACAATGCTGGCAAACTTACAACAACAGAGATTAAAAATCTTGAGGCTAAGTATCATCAAGAAGCAAATACCTTCAGCAAAATTCAAATGGGAGTTTCAAGAGCATATTTTGCAAAGATTGTTACTTGTGAGACTGCAAAGGAAGCTTGGGATTTTCTAGAAGCCGAGGTGTACGGTAACGAAAAGGTTCACACTATAAATCTTCAAACTCTTAGAAGAGAGTTTCAAAACTTGAAGATGATAGAATCTGAAAGATATATGAATATTGCACAAGAGTCATGAATATTGTTAATGAAATAAGAAATCATGGTGATACAATTTCTGACCAACAAGTTGTGGACAAGATTCTAATTTGTGTTACAGAAAAGTATGAGTACATCTTTGCTATCACTGAGGAGACGAAAGATCTTTCTAATCTTTCCATCAAAGAGCTAGTTGGATCATTTCGTGCACACGAGCAGTGAAGATTTTTTCGTGAAGATCAACCCAAAGAGACAACTTTCCAGTACAGAACAAATGAGAATTCTAAAAATTTCTCAAAAAATCAATAGAAGAAGATTTTAAGCCAAAAAAGAAGCAGGATCATGATGGTTCTCAAAAATGTTGAAGAAAAAGGTGAGAAAAACTCTAGTCTTTTTTGTAAAGTTTGCAAAAAGACAAATCACACTGCAGAAAAATGTTGGCACAAAGGCAAGCCCCAATGTAACATTGAGAAGGATTGTTGACACAAGAAACGGGAGCAAACAATTTTTTGTGAAAAATAGGAGGAAGAAAGGAAAGAAAATCTTTTTTTTTGCTTCTAAATCTGATGCTTCAACGAAAAAAATGAATGGTATGTTGATAGTGGTTGTAGTAATCACATGAGTGGAGATGAAAACTTTTCTCTCAATTAGTAATAGCATCAGTACTAAAGTGAGAATGGGAATGGAGCCTTAGTTGATCCAAAAGGTAAAGGTACTATTATTAACATGAAAAGGAAGCTGTAAGCAAATTCATGGTGTTCTTTATATTTCTGACTTGGGAGACAATTTGCTTAGTTTTAGTCAACTCATGGAAAATGGTTATTTTGGCACAAAAGATTTTGTCACTTGAATTTTCATGGTTTGAAACTTCTCAAGCAAAAAGACATGGTGCAAGGCCTTCCTGAGACACATACTGAGGTTGATCCATATGAAAGTTTTATAATGAGAAAGCACCATAAGAAGTCTTTTCCAAAAGGTGTCTTGGAGAGCAAGTGTACTTTTGGAACTAATCCATACCGACATTTGCGGACCAATTAAGACTCCATCAATTGGAAGTCAAAGGTATTTTCTAATCTTTATTGATGATTTTTCAAGAATGTCTTGAGTTTATTTCTTGAAAGAAAAGTCAGAAGCATTTGCTACATTCAAGAAATTTAAAGCCCTTGTTAAGAAGCAAAAAGGGTGCAGCTTCAAAACCATTCGCACTGATAGAGGAGGTGAATACATAAGTCGAGAATTTGAAGAAAATTGCAAAAATGAAGGCATTCAAAAGCAACTTACATCAGAATACACTTCTCAAGAAAATGGTGTCTCATAAATAAGAAATAGAACAATTGTTGAAATGGCCAGAACTATGATAAACGAGAAAGGGCTGTCAAAATCCTTTTGGACAGAAGCAATACATAAAGCAGCGTACATCCTTAATGGGATCCCGATAGAGGCACTAAAGGACAAGATACATGTTGAAGCTTTGCGTGGAATGAAACCTTCTGTAACTCATTTTAAATTTTCAGTTGTATTTGTTATTCTTATGTACTTGTTGAGAAAAGAAAAAAATTGGATGAAAAAAGTCAAAAATGTATAGTTCTTGGTTATAGTGATGTGACAAAAGGATATAGGCTTCTCAATGTCAAAACTAACAAACTTGTTGTTAGTAGATATGTCATTTTTGAAGAATAAACAACATGGAATTTGAAGGACAAAAAGATAGAGAATACTGCTATCATATCTTCAAATCAAGAAGACGATGAGAAAGAAGAAGATGTCCCTCAAGGGGGAGAAATCCAAATTCATATGATGAAGAACCACAAAAATGTTAAGTGACATTTATCAGAGATGTAACTTTGCCGGTGTTGAGCCATAAAATTATATAGAAAAAATAAAGCGTGATGTTTGGAAGAAATTCGAATGATTGAAAAAAATAATAGTTGGAAGCTTGTGGCTATACCCAGAGAAAGAGAAGTTGTAAGTCTAAAATGGATTTACAAAATCAAACTCAATGAGGATGGAGATATTCAAAAGCACAAAGCAAGGTTTGTTACTAGAGACTTCACGCAAGAATCAGGTATTGATTTTTATGAAATTTTTTGTCCAGTTGCTCGTCTTGAGACAATTAGAACCGCAATTGTTGTTGTCGTACAAAAGAAGTGAAAGATATTTCAACTTGATGTTAAATCTGCATTTCTTAGTGGAAAAATTTGATGAAGAGATTTAGGTTGAGTAACCTCAGGAATTTTTTGTTCAAGAGGGAGAAGAGATGGTGAAGAGGCTAAAAAATCTCTTTACTAGCTGAAGCAAGCTCAAGAGGCTGGTAAAATGAAATTGATATATATTTTATGGAAACAAAAATGCAGAGAAGTAAAAGTGAAGCTAGTTTGTATGTAAAGAAAGAACATGGCAGCATTATCATTGTTTGTCTCTATGTGGATGATCTGTTCTTTACAGGAAATGATGTGAAGATTATGCAAAAATTCAAGCAAGATATGATGCAAGCCTATGAAATGAGTGATCTTGTGTTGCTAAATTATTTCTTGGGCATCGAAGTTTCTCAAGTGAAAGAAAGAATTTTCATTTCTCAAAATAAGTATACTAAAAGTATTCTTCAAAAATTCAAAATGATGGATTATAGGTCTATGGTCATACCATTAGCATCAAATGAGAAGTTTAAAAAAGATGATGAAGAAACGAAAGCTAGTAGCTCACTTTATAGGAGCCTGATTGGAAGTTTGTTATATCTTACTTCAACAAGCCTAGACATTATGTTTGCTCCTAGTTTATTATCCAGATTCATGCAAGAACCAAGCCAAGTAAATTTTGGAGATGCAAAGCGTGTTCTATGCTACTGGCAAGGAACAATGGACTATGAGATAACATACAAATTTGGTGGAGATTTAAACTTGATCGGTTATTCTGATAGTGATTGGGCTGGAAGTATAGATAACATGAAGAGTACTTCTAGTTATGCTTTCTTATTTCGATCAAGTATTTGTTCTTGGTTATCAAAAAAGCAAAATGTTGTTGCTCAATCCACTGCCGAAGCAGAATATATTTCATCAACTAAGGCTACTTCTCAAGCTATTTGTCTTAGGAGAATATTTAAAGATATTGGTGAAAAATAAAAAAGAGGGATTGTTCTATATTGTGATAACAAGTCAGCAATTGCAATTGCCGAGAATTCAGTCATCCATGAAAGATCAAAACATATTTTCATCAAGTATCATTTTATTCGAGAAGCACAAGAGAAAGGCGAAATTCAATTTCATTATTGTCACACAGGAGAACAACTTGGTGATATCTTGACCAAAGCACTTCCTAGAGAAAAATTATGCTATCTTCGAGAATGCGTTGGAGTTATCAAGCAAATGCATTCAGAGGGAGTGTTGGAATAAATACATCAATCTTTAGTTTTCCGAAATTTTCTCTTAGTTTTCAAAGAAGTCTTTTTAGAATTTCATAATACATGGATCTAGTAAATTGTGATACATGGATTTAGTTATTTGTGCAAGACCTTTGATTTATATTGTTACTAGTATAAATAGAGATATAGTTGATGATTGTAATCATCTCAAGTGACCTTAAGTAGCCTATGTAAAACTTAGGCATTCTCTAATGATAGTATTCTCCTTTCATATTTCCTACAAAAACATAGCCAAGCTCATAGTGATTGTATGTCATATAGCATAGGTAGTAGTTAATGTATTACACAGAGGGTATTTCAGAATGACAATGAATGGAGCATGTTGCTCAATCCCAAGTCATTTTGCTTGTACATAACTCCAATTTAGGTAATAAAAATCAGTTAGTAATGAAGTATAAATATCATGTTTTAACAATGTAGCCTCTCTTCCCTTGAAATTCGAAAGAGGAACATCAATAGAAGCAAAACGTAGGAAATTTTTGCTTTAATAAAAGCCCTAGATAGTATTATGCTTCACTAGTATGTGTCTCACACCAACTATAAATATATATATATATATACCTAGTGAATTAGAGTGTTCGTATTTGAAAAACATATAATTGATTTTTTTTTATCTTCTAGTTGAATATATGAGACAAATATAAAGCAAGATCAACGGATATGTTACGAATAGTCAATGAACAAATCATTTAATATGCTAATGTGAGATATATTATATGTTTAATATTGTTCAAACATAAAATAGGAGGACAAATACATACCTCGTCTTTTTGTTTAGGTTTTGAAATTCCTCTTCAATTTGCAAACCAACTTTTTTGGTATATATATAT